GGTCCTCACCCAGCGAGGCTGTGTGGTGAGAGCCTGGGGGGAGGCGGGGATGTACCTACGACCAGACGAACCGGGTGGAAACCATGGGAAAACCCCATAGAGTCAAGGAGGCGCCATGAAGGCCCAACGCAGGCGGCGAGACCCTTTCCATTGAAGCAGCCTTCGAAGGCGGTGCTTCCGGCTGTGGGGCGTGTTGCCCGGGCTCCGGGCTGTTTCGCAGAGGCTGTGTGTGTGTGTGTGTGTGTGTGTGTGTGTGGCTCTGCTCCCGTGAGTCATCCCACGTAGGCCTGCCAGGCTGCTGAGGACAGGGAGGGGCATTCCTGGCGTTCCAGACCCAAGTGTGAGTATCGGTCCCGCAGAAATGCGCCTGGAGTGCGGGCGCGGCTGGCCTCAGGTGGGGCCTCGCCTGGAGGCCCGGGGCCCACCCAGCCCGGCCCAGCCCGGCCTGCCGTCTGCATTCCCAGCTGCATTCCCGTCTGCGTGTCCACAGTCACACTTTCCACCCGTGGGAGCTCTGGGTTGAGTATGACCTCCTCCTCCCCTTCCTCCCCCCCCCGGCCCCGGTTGAGTCATCACTGCAGCCACCACGGGCTGTTTCCTCGTGTCCCCAGGACCCCAGGCAGTGCAGGAAGCCCCTCCCGGTGGATTTGGTGTTCGTGGCTTGGAGAAGCTCTGGCATGCAGGAACAGAGCATAGCTGCACCTGTTACATGTATGTTACGTGTACGAGGGAGCCCTGCCTGCCTTTCAGCCGCCACATCTTACTTGTTCTTTCCTTGTTCTTGCTTCCACACGCAGCCACCTGCACTGCCCTGGTTAAAACGTTCATTAGTGAGTGAGTGTGTGTGTGTCTGAGGGTAAGAATAAAAGCCCCCAAAAGAAATGCAGATGCTAGAAGCTGGAGCGAGCTTACTGGTACCTCCGCCTCCCTGGCAATGGTCAGGACGACTGTGTCCGAGTTCCACGAGAAAACTGCGAAAAGAAAACCCATGTGCCATTTTCAGCCATCGAGAACATGTCCTTATTCTGTTGGATCCTACCTTGGTAATGATTTTTAAAACCTTTAAAGTGATTTTCGTTGTAGAATATTCTCACGCACACAAAAGAATAGCTATAGGAGCATATGTGCATTCTGCCTGTATGTTAGATAGCTGCGTAACATCTGCACCCCATGTAGCGGTCAGTAGGGACAGATAAAGTTTTATTGGCGTTCACCACATCTGTTCGTTGGTGTGCCGCCTGTGACTGCAGTCACTACCTTGGCCAAGGTGACGGAGACCAGGTGGCCCATGAGGCCCACACTTCCTGTCTGGCCCTTTCTGTGAAATGTTTGCAGACGCCTGGTAATAGGATAATAAAACTCGCATCCATGTTCCCGGGACTCGGCTTAGGGCAGAAACCATAACCCACATTCTGATGTTCCTGTGTGGCCCTCCCCAAGGCTCTCGCTCCTCTGCTTGAAGGAAAATGAGAATCTGAACTTTATCATTTGTGTGGTTTTCATACAGTTTATATATGTAGCTCGAAGCACTGTGTTTAAGGATTTATGCGATTTGGGATCCTATATGCTTTAGGACTTTTAGAAATGAGTTCACATTCTCCTCTGCGTTGCTTTCCCCTGACATTTAGCCTGTGAGGTTGCCTGTGTTCCTGCGTGAAGGTGCGGCTGATTTTCATGGCTGGTGTTAGAATGCACTGCGCTGGGTCGTGGCGAGTTTGACATAAGATACTGCACAGCGAGCCTTCAAGCAGGCCGTGTGCGCATCACACTGATTCACTGATGCTTCCCTTTTTATCCTCCTACTCCGCTCCCGTCCCAGCTCGGAGGTACAGTGACGTGACCAGGTTCACACAGGTGGTATGTGTCTGCGCTTGAATCAAATTCAGCTCCGCCTGACTACAGAGACTTTTTTTTTCTTTTTTTTAAATATATTTTATTGATTTTTTACAGAGCGGAAGGGAGAGGGCTAGAGAATTAGAAACATCGATGAGAGACAAACATCGATCTGCTGCCTCCTGCACACTCCCACCGGGGATGTGCCCGCAACCAAGGTACATGCCCTTGACCGGAATCAAACCCGGGACCCTTCAGTCCGCAGGCCGACGCTCTATCCACTGAGCCAAACCGGTTTCGGCAGAGACTTTTTTAAAAATGTGCCTCTTTTTTTTTGCTGAAGGGGAAAATCCTGTAGAATAAAGTTATGTGAACAATTTCTATGGCCCGTATAGCCTCGCAGTGCACAAAACCCGAGCAAGTCCAGGTACATTCCAGGCAACACAGTTGCAAAATGGAAACACAAAAATGGATGAATTAATGATGGTCTATGCATAGGAGGGTGTGGATACTACACAGCTCGGAACAGTGTTAAACGTCATTGGCGTGTCGCCTGCCCCTTTACCGAAATCCCCAGGCACGCGGTCTGCAGTGTCCGCAGAAGCCTGTCTCATTGTTATTATTATTATAAGCAGGCGGGTTGGAAGGAGTCGTAAACCAAAACACAGCTGCGGAGTCTAAATTTAGGCCCATCAAGATGCGTGCCCCTCCCCGCCTCGCTGCTGCTCCGGCTCCTTCTGCAGGACGTCGCGTTTCCACCAGACGTCTCCGGGCACCGGTTTCGGGGCATCGGAAGTTCTGTTCTCACGGCCCTTTCAGGCCAGCGTTCTGTTTGTCACACTTCGCACACTGGTTTCTTCCCTCTCCTTGTGGGGAGAAAATAGCTGTGTGCAGGCGGCTCCGAGCCGTCAGAGTTCCTTGTGGCGTGTCTGTGCGATGCTCCGAGGCGTGTCACCGAGGGCTAGAAGGAAGGACGCTTCAGACGTGTCCTCTCTCTCCTCCCACCTGGGTCCTCGGTGTTTATCTCCTGAGTAAGTCAGAGATTGGCAGACCCCTGCTTGTTTTTTTGTTTGTTTGTTTTGTGTGTTTAAATATGTTTTTATTGATTTCAGAGAGAGGAAGGGAGAGGGAGAGAGAGAAACATCAATGAGGAGAGAGAATCACTGATTGGCTGCCTCCTGCACGCCTCCTCTAAGGATCAAGTTCACAACATAGGCCTGTGCCCTTGACCAGAATCGAACCTGGGACCCTTCAGTCCGTAGGCCGACGCTCTATCCACTGAGCCACACCAGCCAGGGCTCAGAATGTTTTTGAGTGATTCATAGTCATTCAGGTCCTTCTGCGGGAATGTGGGGCGTTGCTGAAGCCCAGCCTGTGGTTTTCTTTCTGTGCTCGATATGGAAGCCTGTGTTTTCGACACCACACCGCGCTCCCTGGAATGGCCATCTTCCCACGCCACGCGAGGACGCATCTTAGCAGGAGAAATAGAATGCTGAACAACGCGTGGGCGAAAGGAGGGGGGGGGAGTTCAGGGGTGACTGCATGGAATGCCAAGGCACGTGGTCGGGGACCCTGCCAGTGACTTTCAAAGAACATTTGCCCATCAGCCCAAATCGTGTCAGCTAAATGCTCCCCTTTCACTGAAATGGCTGTTGAGAGAGATTTGGGACACTGGTTGCACATTTATTTGGAACTTCTGGTTTGTTTGTTTGTTTAATATATTTTTATTGATTTCAGAGAGGAAGGGAGAGGGAGAGAGGGAGAGAAACATCCATGATGAGAGAGAATCGTGGATCGGCTGCCTCCTGCACGCCCCCTACTGGAGATGGAGCCGGCAACCCGGGCCTGTGCCCTGACTGGGAATCGAACCTGTGACCTCCTGGTTCATAGGTCAACGCTCAACCACTGAGCCACGCCGGCCAGACTGGAACCTCTGGTTTTGAATGGCTGCTTAGTATTCCATGGTCTTAGCATCCCATGATTTAGTCTGACAGTCCCATTTCCATGTACTTCCAACATATTTTTGCACTTCCTGTGTCACTGCGCCACTTGGATAAGAAAAAAAATCTAATGTGACCCAGGGTTTCTGCCCAAACGGCCCTGGACGGCGCCTGTCACCTGTCACAGTGGTTTCTCCTGTCTCCGAACACAGCGTAAAGCTGTTGACTCTAACAGTTTTAATATTCTTCTCAAGATACATGTTTATTTTAGACTATTTGGAAATACAGAGGCTCATGCTAAAACCATAGTTCAGCAGCAATTCCAACACCTGGAATCCTTTTCAGCTGTTTTGGTATCACTTTAAGTTCATGTGCACTGAGTGCATCTTGCATCCCTCTCCCCTCCCCCTCGCCTCCGCTCTCTCCCTCTGCCTTCCCCCCGCCCCCGCCCATCGCTGGGCCATAAAGCTGAGTGGACACGCAGCACGCACGGGCCTCCCTGTGGGTGAAGAGCAGAGGCTCGAAGGGTTGGCTGCCCACATTCCTGGGCCAGTGAGGCCGGCGGCTGGTCCCCTCCATGGAGGGTGTGGGACTTGGCCTTGGTTCTGTGTTTTCTTAGGGCCCATCTCCCCCGTCCCTCATGGTGCCCTGGAGAGCAGAGGCCCTCCAGAAAGGGAACACAGTTCTCACACAACGAGGAGAGCGCTCACCTGCTCAACACGCTGTGGTTGTTGTTGTTGGGTATGAGCTTTTTCAGCCCCCCTCCGGGGCCAGCTGTGCCCGCCCTCTGTGTCCGCGACGCCAGGTCCCAGCCTCCGGGGTTCTCGGTCATGAGGGGCCGTCCGTGTCCTCGCGGCCACCCGGTTCCTCTCGGGGCTACTTCTCAGCTCCCTCTGGCCGAGGTCCCCGCCGCCACTCGGCAGTCCGGCCTCCAGCTTCTGAAAATGGCAACTTTGCTCAGTCTCTTCTTTTACGCTGAGGGTTTATGCCTTTGGGTCCTGTTTTGTTTTGTTTTGTTTTTATCTATTTGTGTCCTTCTTCACTGACATCTGTGGGGTCTCGAGAGGAAGCTGAGATAAAAATACATGTTCCACGTGCCCTGGTGACCCGGGAGTCCCTTGCCCGCTTCGTCCTTGACGTGTCTCATGAACCGTGTGGAACCTGAGGAAGAGAAGGCTCTACCTGTTCTCCCTGTAGCTGTTAACAGCTGATGGTTTATTCCTCAGGATGCCTCCCTGATGGACATGAATTCTCTGAGCCCGACGATGCCGACGTCCCCTCTGTCGATGATCAACCAGGTCAAGTTTGAGGATGAGCCCGACTTGAAAGATCTCTTCATCACGGTCGACGACCCCGAGAGCCACGTGACCACCATCGAGACCTTCATCACTTACAGGGTCGCCACCCAGGTGCGTGCGGAAGGCCAGCCTCCCGACACGTGGCTGTCCTTGGGCTTCGGACGTGCATCTTGCTCACCGCAGACTCTCAGCATCACACAGTCTTTGCTGAATTTATCTGTATTTTTTTTTTAACCATTTTGGGTAAGATACTGCACTTTGGGGTGTAGATCACCTGAGTCCGTTAGTCCCGAACTCCAGGTACCCACGTTTTTACGGGAAGACATGAAAACTAAACATCTACAAAGCAGCTCCCAGGGGAACCTGTGTTTTTAGGTTGGAAGGGTTACTTATGCTCTGAGTTCACTTTCTAGAACACACGTTCTCGCTGAGTTGGAGATCGGCCATCTCGTCCCCATGGTGCAGTGTGTACCTGTGTTCAGATGGCCCCCGTCGGCCACTCCAGACGGGGCAGTGACTGTCCCTGTCATAGGAATCGAACCGTGACTAATCCCGTAAGGGGTTAGTTATGACGTGAGCCCGGCTGGCTGCACTGGTTTTCCTTGTCCGATCCACTGTAGATCTTGCGGCCTCTCTGGGGGAGGGGACGCCCGGCAGGGAGAAAGAACACCCCGCCCTGGGGACTGTCCTCACCCCGTTACCACCGGAAAGTTCGCTCTTCTCCGCCCCTAACAGCGACGAGGACAGACCAACAGTCACGTGACTTGATTGGTACCTTCCTTGTCTGAGGGTTATTTAAAGGGTGAGAAGTTCTTGAGGACGTCTAAAGCTCAGTGTTAACTGCCCAGGTTTTGAGTGTCCTCATTCTCACTAGTAGTTAGGCCAGTTTTCCCCGCTAGTAACTGGTAATGAACCTGTGCCTATGTGCTGGCTACACAGCTGTTCAATACATAGGTGCAGATATAGACATATTTTAAAAGATGTTTTCAGTTTATTTTTTTTAGAGAGAGAGGGGAAGGGAGAAGGGTAGAGAGATAGAAACATCGATGAGAGAGAATCATCGATCAGCTGCCCCCCACTGGAGATCAAGCTTGTTCCCTGACCGGGATTCGAACCCGTGACCTCCTGGTTCATAGGTTGATGCTCAGCCACTGAGCCACACCTGCCGGGCTTCAGTAAATATATTTTCATGAGTGACTCTAAACTATGTTTTGTGTGCATATGTATGTTCATGTGTATATACTTGCATATGTATGTCCACATACCAACTCATATACATTGTTAAACTGTCTCTGCTAGATTTAGTTTTCCTATTTTTAGCATTTCTACAACCTGTACCTTTTTGCATAATAGTTAAGATTTTGTAGTGTTCTGTGAGCATTTAGTTCTTTAGATTTCTGCATCTCACTTACCTCTACCTTTTCCACTAAAAAGGGAATGTTTTACTGAGCTACATTGTGAGATATTCTAAACATGCATTTTAAAAAGAATAAATCTTGGAAAGTGTAGCTTAGGGGAGCCTTATTTCACAGCAATTAAGGTTGCTTAGCTCTTGAACTGCTTAATTCTACAATTGTGTTTATCTGTGGGGGTGAGTGTGAAATATGCATGCCATGTGTTATTCCATTCTTACTCCCGAAAAATCTCAATCTTCATATGACTGTCTGTGATTTTTAATGTGCACAATTCAGCTACATAAGATGCTGGTGGGAGTGGCTGTGTTCCCGAGAGGTGTACATGCATTAGATGGTCTACTTTTGTGTTTGGCTCAGGATTCGGCAGTAGAAGCGAGGTTGCAATTATCCCCATGTTGGCGCAGCTTTTTGGTTTGTTGAGAAGAGATATTTTAAGATATTTGCTTAATTTTTAGGAGTTCAGCATATAACTCAAAATAGAATCCCTTGAGAACGACGGGAACATTGTCTTTCCACATCAAATCTCCTTTAATAACATGTTTAAAACAGTGGGTAAAACCACTCTGTCAAATGCTAGAATGTTCGCATACCAAACGCACATTTCAGCCAAGCAGTTGGTTCGAGCACATTCCAGGAAAACGTTTTTTCCCGGTTGTGTTCAGTTCTCTCCCAAACGGCACTGACAGGACTTGCCTCCCGTCCCGAATCCCGATCTCCTGAGAAGAGACGCGTGTTTAAGCCTCAGTGCGGGACGCACTCGCCCATGGGTGGCCGCACCTGTGGGAGGCAGAGGGGCCTCGCACGCAGACGCCCCGTGTGGGTCTGAAACCCGGGCGTGGGGTTTGCTTCCCTGCTGGCCATGCGGGGCGCTGGCTTCCCTCCCCCTGCCCCGTGCACTGCGGCTGCACAGTGAGGCCCGCTGAGCCCGGGTGTCTGGACTGGCCGCGGCGTGGCCGGCCTTGCATTGCTTGTCTGCTGCTTCCTCCTGCAGACGTCACGCGGGGAGTTCGACTCCAGCGAATTCGAAGTCCGGAGGCGGTACCAGGACTTCCTGTGGCTAAAGGGAAAGCTGGAGGAAGCCCACCCCACTCTCATCATCCCGGTAGGTAGACCCCGTCTCCATAGAACGGCTGCCGCCTTGTCCTGGGAACCATGAACATGCCCGACACCAGGTTCCAGGCCTTTCTGTTCATGTAATTCATTCACCTTGGGAACATTCATTTTAAACGTTTCCGCCTAACTACAGATTGGCTTTTTCTTTTTTAATATTTTTGTATTGATCTCAGGGAGGGAGAGGGAGAGAGAAAGAGAAACATCAGTGATGAGAGAGAATCATGGACCGGCTGCCTCCTGCACACCCCACACTGGGGATCGAGGCCCCACCCGGGCATGTGCCCTGATCGGGAATTGAACTGTGATCGATGCTCAACCACTGAGCCACACCGGCCGGGCCAGGTTTGCTTGTTTACCTGTTTCATGTTACCGTTTTGTTGTGTTTGGACTTAGCATTGCGATCTTTGTGAGAAGTGGTGGCATGTTCCATAGTCTGTAAAACGGGCACGGGCAGCATTTCCCTAACCCTCGGCCGCCGGGGGCAGGTGCCGCGCTCACCTGCGTGTTTGTTTTTGCCGCAGCCGCTGCCGGAGAAGTTCGTGGTGAAGGGCATGGTGGAGCGCTTCAGCGACGACTTCATCGAGACGCGCAGGAGAGCCCTGAATAAGTTTCTGAACCGAATCGCCGACCACCCAACCTTAACGTTCAGCGAAGACTTCAAAGTCTTCCTTACCGCACAGGCTGGGGTAACGCCTTGGATTTATACTCGCGGAACCCTTTCCTGTCTGTGTGACAGAAGGCCGTCCCTCCCCTTGTTGGCCTCATTCATAAGCCAGGCAGCAGGGCCCTGGAATTAAGAAGGATTTGAAAAAATATATATTTTTATTGATTTCAGAGAGGAAGGGAGAAGGAGAGAGAGAAACATCAATGATGAGAGAGAATCATTGATCAGCTGCCTCCTGCATGTCGCACACTGGGGGTCGAGCCTGAAACCCAGGCATGTGCTCTTAACCAGAATCGAACCTGGCACCCTTCAGTCCGTAGGCGGACGCTCTATCCACCGAACCACACCAGCCAGGGCTCGAGAAGGGCTTTTAAACGCCAGAGGGATAGCCTTCAGGTGCAGCTCCGGGCCAGGTCTCCTTCCAAACGCTACAGATACCCCACACCTTCCTCCACCTTGCGGACCCCTCTCCCTCCGTTGGCAGGAGCTGTCGTCGCACAAGAAGCAGGGGCCGGGGCTGCTGAGCAGGATGGGCCAGACGGTCCGCGCCGTCGCCCTGTCCATGAGGGGAGTGAGGAGCCGCCCCGAGGAGTTCACGGAAATGAACGACTTCATCGAGACGTTCAGCCAGAAAATAAATTTGATCGATAAGATATCCCAGAGGATTTACAAGGAAGAGCGGGGTACGTAGCAGCACCGGACGTGTGCTTTTCAAGCTGTTCGGTTCCTCACGGGTCCTCCCAGTCGCTGGCTGGTAGGCGGCGTGGAGGTGGCGCCTCTCTTGGGCCCTTTCTCCGCCCTCGTGTCTCCCTGCCCACAGGCCGATCTCCCTGCCTGCAGGCCCGTCTCCTGCCCGCAGGCCCGTCTCCCTGCCCGCAGGCCTGTCCGCCCTGTGGCTGCCTGCAGCACCCCTGCACCCCAGCATGCGAGTCGCGGGCGCTGTAAATTCCTGCTCTCCTGGTGCCAGCGCCCGCCCTCGGGATTTTTTCTTGGTTCCCGGGTGTGATGAACACGGTCAGAGTAACTGTGTAAACAGTAGTCCCACCAGACAGGCAATTATTTTCAACATTTTAAATATTTTTCAGTTTACTTCATCGTACCAACTTTTGAAATTATCATAGTTTATTTTAGAGCAATATGACATTACACCTAACACTAATGAGTAGAAGATGATGAAATATAGAGAATTTGGTGTTATTTATATGGCTACCAGACCCCAAAAAAGGCACAAATGCTCACTGCTTATACATTCCCTCCCATAAAACGCTGTCACGGAGAGTGGATAGTCTGAACGCAGAAATGTGAAAGGCCTCAGATTTTAAAATGAAATCCAGACTTTTGAATAAATGGCTCATCAAGCATTGAAGAGCCCTTTTGTTATTTATTGTTTCATTGATGTGAAAATATTGAACACACTGTGTATCAGGCTTTGAGATTTAAAAAAAAAAAAAAAAAGTAAGACTTGATCCTGTTTTAAGGAGCAGGTGGCCTAGGAGCGTCCCACCTCCGCAGGCGGGCACAGGAGTGGGGTGGCAGGTGTAAACGCCATGACAGGCGTGGGCAGAGGGACACAGTCGTGGCTGAGGACAGAGCATCTAAGAACCCTTTGGGACGGAATCAGCAGCGACTTATTTACCCGGCGATTTAAAGGATTCAGAGGAGTTTGTTGGATGATGGGAAGGGCAGAGGACCAGGCAAAGGGGTCTGTGCAGGGTGTGAGTGAGGGGTCTGTGCAGGGTGTGAGTGAGGGGTCTGTGCAGGGTGTGCGTGAGGGGTCTGTGCAGGGTGTGAGTGAGGGGTCCGTGCAGGGTGTGAGTGAGGGGTCTGTGCAGGGTGTGAGTGAGGGGTCTGTGCAGGGTGTGAGTGAGGGGTCTGTGCAGGGTGTGAGTGAGGGGTCTGTGCAGGGTGTGCGTGAGGGGTCCGTGCAGGGTGTGAGTGAGGGGTCTGTGCAGGGTGTGAGCGAGGAGGGACATGCGATAGTCATACATGAGTGGTTCTTTTGGCTTCAATTGGAATATCTTTGGGAGAGAATCGCAAGAGTTGGATCCACAGAGGCGAGATGAAGTCTAGTCACACAAGGACCTCCTGATTCAGTGCTTACGTGCTGTGACGGAAATGGAGAGAGGGACCCTGGGGAGGACAGGGTAGAGATGCAGATGGCAATGGGAGTCAGGATAGGTAAGTGGGTGGTTGGGTGGGTGGTTGGGTGAAGAGATAGATGATGATGGATAGTAAAGACTGATAGGTAGTAAAGATGAAGACGCGGGAAGTGGTGGTTGGCTGAGTGCAGGTGTGAGGCTAGGATGCAGCCGGACTCCTGCTCAGACTCTGGGAACGCTTACCCTGAAGTGGGCCATGTGGGCAGGAGAAGGGAGAAGACGGCGCGTTCTGTCTCCGGTCAGGTTGCTGGAGACGCGGGTGCAGGTGTCTGGTAGCGGAAGTAGTCACGTCCCAGCCAGGACGCCTGTCAGCAGGGATTTTCAAACGTCCGTGAGCTGAAGGACTTATTTTATTTTTTAGAATACTTTGACGAAATGAAAGAATACGGCCCCATTCATGCCCTGTGGTCGGAGTCGGAAGAGGACCTGGCGGACACGCTGGGCGGCGTGGCCAGCTGCCTGGACCGGTGCTGCCAGGCCACCGAGCGGCGTCTGTGCGGCCTGTCCGAGGCCCTGCTCCCCGTCGTGCACGAATACGTGCTCTACAGCGAAATGCTCATGGTGAGCCCCCTGCGTGACACTCCGGCCTCCGGCCCTGACCCGAGTGTGAGCTGCAGAAAGGCACTGCTGTTCTGCCTTTGTGCGTCTTCCCATCCCAGCAGGACGCTGCGCATGGACCGATGGTATTGCTCGCCCGCCCATGCGGTGGTGGGCGGAAGGAGACATTAACAAAAGAGGGGACGCCCGGCCGGTGTGGCTCAGTGGTTGAGCGTCGACCTAGGAACCAGGAGGTCAGGGTTTGATTCCCTGTTAAGGGCACATGCCTGAGTTGTGGGCTCCATCCCCAGTAGGGGGTGTGCAGGAGGCAGCCAATCAATGATTCTCTTTCATTATGGATGTTCCTATCTCTTTCTCCCTTCCTCTCTGAAATCAATAATATATATATACATATATATATTTTAAAAAGGAGCGAAGTAAAAAAGAAAAAGGAACGAAGGGGTTCCTGGCGTTAATGGCAGTGACACAGGGAAGTAAATGTAGAAGAATCCGTGGCAGTGGTTGAACTTGGTATTGACTTCTCTAGACAAGGGGACTCTTCATCTCTCCTGTATGTTGTCAGGGCGGTTTGACAGGCACAGAACCAGACTGAGTGGTGTCGGGTGCTTTTGCTCCAGCGCCTCTCAGTTCTCATTCAGACACGGACAGCTCCCTCCTCCCTCCCCGTGTAAGGTGTTTGTGTCTGGGCCCTTCCCTGCCCTGAACACACCGCGGGACCCGTTTCTCCTCAAGCCCCCTCTCCTGTATGTCCTTTAACTCTCTCTGGTTGAGTCAGTGTTTTCTTTAACCTGTTGAGGCCACTTGTGTTCATTATTATAATTTCATTATTATTTGATTAATGCTGTAGCAACCAGTGCCCAGGCGGCGTGGCTCAGGGGTTGAACGTTGACCTATGAACCAGGAGGTCACAGTTCGATTCCTGGTCAGGACACATGCCCAGGTTGCGGGCTTGATCCCCAGAAGGGGGCGTGCAGGAGGCAGGCGATCCATGATTCTCTCTCATCATGGATGTTTCTCTCTCCCTCTCCTTTCCTCTCTGATATTAAAAAAAAAAAAATACTGTGACAAGCAGGGAAAGATGAGTGCAAATAACAAGAGTCCTTGTGCCCCTGAGCCGAAGGAGAATATCTCGGAAGAAAGGGAGTCACCCAGGGAAAGGCCTGGCCAAAGACCAGCAAACACTGGACAAGCTTCCGATGACTTCTGCACGCAGGTGCCCCCACACGGGTGTGTGCAGCTTAACGCCACAAAACGGAACCCTGGTGATTCAGGAAGACGAGATGGGAGAAGAGGCCCTGCTTTCCCCTGCAGAGCTGGGCTCATTGCTTCATATTTACACCCGTGAAGCTAAAATAAAACCCTGAGATGTGAGCACACACTGCGGGTCCCGCCGTCCCTGACTGATAGCCATTCCTTGGGAGTCGGATCAGGGCAGCCAGGGAGGGTGGGTATCTTCCGGGGAGTGGCCCGCGTGGCCTCCAGCTGCCGCGAGGGTATACCCTCCCGATGAGTGCTCCCCGGCCTCTGTTTGCTTTGTTCCTGGCTCTTTCCGGATGGCTGTGCGAGCTCAGGGTACTCCTCCCACAGTGGCTCCTCAAGTACTTCCACCAGCAAGAGAGGCCCTGGGAGGCTGGAGGGTTTATAAACGCCTTTTCCTAAATGCCTGCTGTCGGTTTAGCTCTTAGAGATGGAAAACCATTTATAAAGTCGTTCTGTCCCCAACCGAGTGGTGGCTGCTGATACCCCGAAGCGTCTATGTCGTGGACGCACAGCTGACGAGGTCCTTGTGTTTTCCCGCAAAGGGCGTCATGAGGAGGAGAGACCACATCCAGGCAGAGCTGGAATCCAAGGCGGAAGCTTTGACCTACAAAAAGGCGGACACGGACCTGGTGAGCGTTCACGTTTCTCGATATGATGGTGTCAACTTATTGCTTATCTGAGACTTTTCCTGGCCATGTAGAGCTCCCTTACAGCTTGCTTTGAAGCGTTCAGCCAAAGGCACTAAAATTTCTCCCGAAATGTCTATACCTTCTGTTGAGATCTCTAGGAAGGAGACTTTGTTAATGTTTTTTTTCACTCCGAGGACGTAGGTGAGTGTTGAGGACATGAATGGCAGGTGAGTAGGGGTGTCCTTGAAACCCCCATTAATGCATAGGATGATGACCCCATCCAGCCTGCGTTAATGTGTCCCTCATTTTAATCCTTTTCCTACAAAAGATATGATGTCCTTCCTGCTTCTCTTTACGCATCTTCCTCTCTCTCTCCTTGTCTAATCTGAGCACCTTCAGGGCAGGGAACTTTTATTTGTTCCCTGACGTGTTCTCAGCCCCCGCATCGCGCTGGGTACGCGGCTCACGCAGTGAGCATTTCGTGGGTGAATGGGTGAAAACTGCAGGGACCACGTTGGAGTCTGGAAACCAGGAGTCCCTACAGGGCAGAACCCCGAGACCTCACTAGGGAGGGCGATGAACTCTCCTCAGCGTCCTGGGTGGGGTTTCTTTCTGGGCTGAGTGTGTGTTTCAAAGTCCAGTTCATTCTCCCGAACGGTGTGGGTGGGGCGGGGCGGGCTGCTGTGGGCAGGAGAGGAGAGAGAACCACAGAAAAGCAGAGGCACTAAGCCAGGGTGAACCCTTTCCATTCAATAAGGTGTGTGTGTGTGTGTGTGTGTGTGTGTTTAACTTTTTAATTTTATTTAAAGAGTCAAGTAGAAGGAACAAGAAGGGGAGGGACACATGTACCGAAATAGTATTCTTATCCTTTACACTGTAGAATTCTTTTATTTGTTAAATAATTTTTAAAGATACTGAAATTAGCGGTGAGGTAAAATGTTGCCGTTGACCAAATCCTAGAAAAAGCACATTACAGTTTCAGGAGCAGAGGACGATGCTAAAAGCCGCGTGTCTGTTCAGGATGCTTCTGCTCAGGTTGTGCGTGGAACACGGACAGGAAGTAGCTGGGATTATCCCTCCGCAAAAGTCACGGAAGAAAGAGCTGCCCACACGTGGCTTGGCTTTCCCAACTCACCTAAAAAGGGCACTTTTCATGTGACTTGCAAATATTTTGTCTTTTTTTCTATAAAAGTTTTCTTAATGTCTCATTATAACCTAATGATCCGTCTGTATCCATTTGTGCGTTCGTCGGGTCCAGGATAAAGTTGTTGTTGGTTTTTTAACCTAGCGAGCTGCTGTGTTGAAAGCGTGGAGAAATTTGAAACGTTAATTATCTGCATGATATTCTGTAAGATACGTTTAATCAACTAAGATTTGAAGCAGAGACATGGCGAGTACTTGGCTGTTGCCATCAGAACGGGCCTTCCTGGAGCGTGCAGGGAGGGTGGAGGGTTTGTGGGTGGCGGCATTTGCGCAGACCTCACTGCAGCAGCCCTTCGTGTTAGGATGGCATCGTCGGGAGAGACCTGCAGAAGGAAGCTGACACAATCGGTCCCAGAACAACGGAAAGGAAGTTGCTTAGAAAGATGCAGGATAGGATCACCATGGAAACACACCCTTGTGAGGTCCTTGGAAGGAGCCATCCTTTGCAGTCACCATGGCGACCCTGGCAGAGAACTGAATAGAGCCATCTAGCCCGGGCGTTCACCATGGCAACTCAAGCAGGGCCACTTCAGAGCCCACCCCGGGGCCGTCTCTATGGAGACCTGCCGGGCTGCCCTCAGAGGCTCCGTCCCCGTCCCTGAGGGTGGGGTGCCCTCTGCAAGCCCAGCTCAGCAGCTCAGCATGAGGAGGTCGCTGACGGAGCTCTCCCAAGATGGGCGGAGGCCAGGGGAGTCATAATTATTGGGTGGAAATAGAACCCCGATGGACACCCCCGAGGTCACGTTGGGCGTGTCTGGTGGACGGGGAGGGACCCACCTGGAGATACACGTGTGGGAGTGGTTAGAAGATAGGCAACGTTTAAAGCGATGAGATTTGTCGAGGTCACTCAGGGGTGAGACTAGAGGCCCCGTGACTGAACCTCAGCACTTGCCGGCATGAAGAGCCAGGCCAGGGGTGTGTGGTGCGAAGGAAGGGGATTGTCGCTTCAGCTGCTGGGAGGGAACTGGACCAATAAGGTGAACTGAACATGGAGGGTCATTCGACTTCTCTAACCCACTTCTCCACGTGGGAGGCCTTTATGCAAACGGCGGGCGAACTGGGACACGCGCAGGCCGTAACGTGTTGCAAGAGGAGCTGAGAGTTGTGTGATGAGCTCCACGAAGAAGATGCTCACTCTGCCGAGTCAGAGCCGCATCTGCCGGTGGAGACGAGGGGCCGAGATGGCCCCGAGGAGCGGGGAGGCGCGGGGGCGGGCACTGTGGTTTCTGCCGTTTGGTGAGGAGTTCTCGGAGGCAGAGCTGTTTGAAAACACTTATTCACTCGCCGCCTCCCCGGAAGAGAGCAGGGGCCTCGGGGTGCTAATGCTGCTGCCGCTCGTGGTGTCCTTATTTTTATTTCTGAATGGGCGCTTTATCATGTTCACTCAAGGCAGCATTCAGATAGGAATGAATGTGAATACGCTTGACATTTAGCAATATGTGCACAGACTCCGCGAGTCGGGTCTGGAAGCGATGCCTTCGCGGTGGCAGGGTGTTTATGTGAGCAAAAATACACTCGCATTTTCCTAAGATCATCGCGGCCTGGATTTGCATGCAGCAGCGCTCAGCCGCTACAGACAGACACCGGATTTATTCAAGCCGGTCCTTGCTCCGGGTGACGTGCTAGTTGTGAGCCAGTATTGTGCTCTGATCTTCAAATAACGGTTGTTTGTCTTCTGATGTTCTCGACAGCACCCTGCACAGAGCAGCACTGCCTGCTCGCTGAGCCTTAAAGAAATGATAATATTGACATAGCGTGCGTGTGCATGTGCGTGTGCATGTGTGCGTGTGTGCCTGTGTGTGTGCATGTGTGCGTGTGTCCCTGTGTGTGTGTGCGCGCGCGCATGTGTGTGTGCTGGGGGTGGGAACCGCAGGCGACCACGTTCCGCTAGAGCCTCCCTGTCCTGCTCCCCACATCTGCGTGTGTGAGAGACGCTGGCACAGAAGACGCTTCGTGTGATGAGCTCCACGAAGAAGATGCTCCCACTGCCGAGTCAGAGCCGCATCTGCCGGTGGAGACGAGGGGCCGCGATGGCCCCGAGGAGGGGGGAGGCGCGGGGGCGGGCACTTGTGGTTTCTGCCGTTTGGTGAGGAGTTCTCGGCATCGCTTCCAGACCCGACTCGCGGAGTCTGTGCACATATTGCTAAATGTCAAGCGTATTCACATTCATTCCTATCTGAATGCTGCCTTGAGTGAACACGATAAAGTGCCCATTCAGAAATAATGGGGGCGGGGGGCGGAGCAGAGGTTGCCTCTACCTGCTCTCAGGTATCTTTTTCTTACCTTTCTCCCCTGACCTTTTTGCGAAGGTCTTTCTGCCAATGGCCTCATTTCCCAATATCTGTCTCTATCTGCTGCTCTTTGTCTGTTCGCATCTGCGTGTGTGAGAGATGCTGGCACACACGCGTCCACGCGCACACACTCGCCGCAGGGAGGGACGTGGGGGACATGGCCCCGGGGGAGGAGAAGGCCCTTCTTGTTGGTGTCTTTGTATCGGCGCGTCCCAAAGCATCGGCGCTGCCCCGTCTCGCTGGCTGAGCGGTGGAAGCCCAGGTCAGAGGAGTCGCCCGGAGTGAACCTGTGGGCGCCCCTTACGCCCAGGGGCCGGGGGCAGCCGATGGACAGGCAGGAGCTCCCAGTGAAGGACTCCACATGCTCTCAAGGTTAGACCCACATCTTTTCCTGGAGAGACGTGACCCAGAAACGTGTGTTTAGTTAGGAGCCTTTTGGAACCTGCAGACACCAGCTTGTCTGTCGTGAACACAACATGGAATTGACTCACGCCAACTGTGACCCAGAAAATCCGTCAGGAGGCATCTGAGGGCGAGAGAAGGCTGTGCCGCCTCCAAACCGTTTCGCCATGAACTGTGCGCGGAGGAGTGGGTGTGTGTACGGTCCCAGGTTCGCGGGGAGGACCCGTCCGCGTGGAGTGCGGCGAATGGGGCCTGCGCGCTGCGGGGCGAGTGTGGGGAGCAGGACAGGGAGGCTCTAGCGGAACGTGGTCGCCCGTGGTTCCCAAAGGCACACTGTGAGCTCAGCGTCTGTCTCCAGCAGCACTTCCCCCTGTCTCACCTGCTGCGGAGAAAGTAACAGGATGAGTAAAGAGGGTGGTCGGACACCGTCAGCCCGCCCGCCGAGGCTCAGGGGCTGAGCGTGGACCTAGGAACCAGGGGGTCAGGGTTCGATCCCTGGTCAGGGCACAGGCCTGGGTTGCAGGCTTGATCCCCAGTGTGGGGCGTGCAGGAGGCAGCTGGTCAGTGATTCTCTCTCATCATTGATCTTTCTCTCTCTCTCTCCCTCTCCCTTCCTCTCTGAAATCAATAGAAATATATTTAAAAAGAATCCCTGTCATTTCTTCTCAGGATGGAAGAGCTCCGTACGTTGTCCTGCACGTGGGTGGTGTGGTTGGGGGAGTCCTGCCCACTATAGATAGAATCCTTGAACAGCTGCCCTCTATAGGAACTCAAAAATATGTCCAATTCCTTTATTTACTCTTTTATTTTAGTCTTTTTGTTCATAAGAAATGTGTCCTGAGGGTCTGTTTCACATCTCTCCCTCTCTCTCCCTCTCACTGTCCCTCTCTTTCCTTCTCACTCCCCCTCCCTCCTCTCTCTCTCTCTCTCTCTCTCTTTCTCTCTCTCCCCCCCCCACCCCCAGCCCTGCCTCAGTAAATACTTGATGAGGCTCAGAGCAGCAGTAACGCACTGGGAGTCCGGGGCCTGGAGGGGGCTTGGACGCTGTTACTCACCGAGCGGCTTTAATCAGACATTAATTACTCTATCCACGGACGTGCAGAACTAATAATGCTGGCTTTGAAGGAAAACGTTTTGAAGATGAATTAATGTGTATAAAGGTAGAGCTTGTGTCAGTAAAAATTTTGATAAGAGGAAAAAAGTACAGAAGAATAATATACTAGAGACTATATAATGGCATCATAAAACTTATTATTTAAGCCGGGTGGGAGCCTTTTTCCTGCCAAGGGCCATTTGGATATTTATAACATCATTTTCGGGCCACACAGAATGATCAGCTTAAAAACCAGCTGCTCTATTTGGCCAAACACTGAATTAACTCACCCCTGATGCCTTGGCAGGGCCAGGCCAAATGATTTCTGGGGTCTTAATATGGCCCGCGGGCAAGGCGTTCCCCACCCCTGATTTAAGGATGAATCGTCTCAATGGTGCTCCTAAAGTCAGCAGTTCTGCTCCACAAAGACCAGAACAGTCGTCCCCTGGCGCCCCCCCCCCCCCCCCCCCCCCAGGGGGGGGGGATTGCACGGAGCTCTGGTCTATGAAGAGGGAGGTTTTTCTTGGGGGTGGGTTCCCAGTTTAGGCAACCTGGGTTCTGAGAAGAGTTTACAAAAAAAGCCAATTTCCACCTCAAATAAAGCTTATTTTTTCTTGTAAATGGGGACAAATATAATTACCCCACCAGCTGTATGTGAGGACTTTAATGAGATAAATATGTGAGATATGGGGATTAGGTACTAAATAAAAATAAAAATAATTTACGATAAATTCATATAGCCTGAGAGGCTCTGTAAACAAATTCAGCTCAGATTTGGGCTTCAAAATGATTTTTACCCTCAGTGCGCCCTTAGGATAATACAGTGTATTTCTCAGCTTAGATGATGCTCTTTGGGGACAAATAGAGAAAATTATTATCTATAGAAGGTTAAAAACCCTGGAATTTTTTAAGCAGACACATTATTCTTTTTTAAAAAAAAATACACTTTTATTGATTTTAGAGAGGAAGGGAGAGCGAGAGAGAAGGAGACAAACATTGATGAGAGAGAAACGTCGTTCGGCTCCTTCCTGCACGCCTTCTGTTGGGACTCGAGCCCCAACCAGGGCATGTGCCCTGCCCGGGAACCCTTTCAGGGCCCAGGCCGACACTCACCCAACCGAGCCACACGGGCCGGGGCCCATTATTCTTTTTTCAAGGGTTTATATCAAGAGGACTCCTAGGACC